CCTGCAATCTTCTCTCTCCACTTCTTTCTTTTGAAGCCACTCTTTAAAAATCGGTTCCGTCTGGGCGGCACAGAGCACTCCCATTGTCTTAAGCCGGATTTACCTCAGACCTCTTCGTTCCTGGCCCCTGGCCCCCTCCTTCTGCCCCTTTTGTACCTGCAGAGTCAGACAAAGGTGGGAGAGCCCCAGAACCCACGCACACCATCCCCCCCCCAATTCTGCCCCTCCTCACCAGCGAGGCCGCGCCGCCTCCCGAAGGAGGTTTCCCTCTTGGCGTTGGCGGGGCTGCTTCCACCCTCGCCCCGTTGCCTTCGGCTTGCAGGCACCGTGCAAACAATCCCCAAAACCCGGGCCCTCTCTCCCTCCCTCTTCCCCCCAGGGATCGGAGAGCTGAGGCCTGCAGTTATTGTCGGCCCAGCATTAGCTGGGAATTGTAGTCTTCTCCTCAGCTTTCAGGTTCAGAGGCTTGTGGGAGTTGTGGTTTCTGCCGGCCTTTTTTGCAAGACAGCTGCCCTTCTGCCAAAAAAAAGAAAGAAAGAAAGAAAGAAAGAAAGAAAGAAAGAAAGAAAGAAAGAAAGAAAGAAAGAAAGAAAGAAAGAAAGAAAGAAAGAAAGAAAGAAAGAAAGAAAGAAAGAAAGAAAGAAAAAGATGTGGATGCGTAATGATCTTTCATACTTTTGACTGAAGAAAGATTGAGGACATTTTCTGTTTTGTTTTTGTTTTTTGTTTTGTTTGTTTGTTGGTTTTCGTCTACAACACCTGGACTTATTGAGCAGAACACTCAAAATAAAATTGCTTCCTTTTGCCACTGGATCCTGCTTGATGGTACTGGGCAACAACTTCGACATGCAAAGCAAAAACTGCAATAATTTTGGATGCCTCCTAGGTCCACCATCACAGTAGTAAGCCTCTCTAAACTGAGTGGGCCTTAATTTTTCATTGACATTGCATTTAGGTAAAAAATAAGTGGCATCTGCATTTACCTCATAGTAAACCCTTTGACTGTGTGGACCACAGCAAACTATGGCAAGTCCTTAAAGAAATGGGAGTGTTTGACTACCTTATCTATCTCCTGAGAAACCTATATGTGGGACAGGAAGCAACAGTTAGAACTGGATATGGAACAACTGACTGGTTCAAAATTGGGAAAGGAGTACGACAAGGCTGTATATTGTCTCCCTGCTTATTTAACGTATATGCAGAATACATCATGCGAAAGGCAGGACTGGAGGAATCCCAAGCCAGAATTAAG